TATACAAACATACCTGTGTGTACGAGACTCCCGAAGGTCGTTCCATTTCGCACACAGTCGTGGATGTACGTACTCAACACCTTTGTTGGACACGCACACAACAGTAACAGTTTGCGGCGCAATTTGTGCCTGAGAAGCTTTACGGCTGGCGCTGGTATCAGTGTCTGTGTCTTGCGCGTCTGCGCTATGCTGGATCACGGCCTGGTGAGAGATATGAATATGACAGGAAGGATGGAGTAGAGGAGTAGAAAGGAGTGAGGGTGGGGTAGAGGAGTAGGGAGTAAGTGAGCGATCTAATTAGGAATTTGGTTGCACGGGATGGTTATTTTGGGTTAACGTACGTGCGCGTAGTATATACACCTCTATGGATATGGATGTAGATATATTGATATGAATTTATAACCATTCATTTTCAAACAGGAATATATGCGTGTACGTAGAAAACATGTATCATAATGTATGTAGAAGTAGGATAGTGTATATATATGTATCATGATGCATATAGAAAAGTACAAATATATATCATGATATATATAGAAAAGTACATATATGTATCATGGTGTATATAGAAAAGTACATTTATGCATCATGGTGTATATAGAAAAGCACGTATGCATATTATGATGTATATAGAAAAGTACATATACGTATCATGATGAATATATTTATTTATGCATCATGACGTATATAGAAAAATACTTATATGTATCATGATAAATACAGAAAAGCACATATGCATCATGGTGCACTTGTATACACATTGCCATATTCCTTGTGCGATTTTGGCTGACCCAACATATGCAATTTACAGCCAAGTATTTCTTCACACAGCCAGCTGAAGAGCTTTCACGATTCTCCATATAGCCCCCACGTTTATAATTGCAGATGCGTATAACTAGTAGCCACCATAGCCTTTTTATATCACTTACGGTCGTACCTCGATATTCTCGACGTCCTTGGTACGTACACTGCAGCGACTTTGTGGCGTTCATTGACGTATGTACACTTACACATACCCGATGCAACTGTAGATACGAACACCATAATCCGAAACATAGCTAGGGGGAACTATGTCTTTCCTATATCACATACGGTCATACCTCGATATTCTCGAAGTCCATGGTACACTGCAGGGCATCCGTTGTAGCGGTCGAGCTGTGCTTGTACGCTAATACGGACGATATGACTCGCACGGCCAAGGGTGTGTGGTGGTATGCCTGCACACTGACTGAGTGGGTAGTCAGAATAGAAGATCAGATGTGAAGTTTTTCGATTAGAGTATCGTATGCTTGTTGTGAGTTGTCGTATGCGTGTTGGTGTGAACTGCGTATAGTCGCTGCGCGCACAGCACCAAAAGAGTTTGGGTGTTTTGGTTCATTCGTCTGCATATGTACTTATATTCTATACAAAAACACAAATAGAAATTTCAATCATCGACCAGGGATCGTGGCAGTAACTATTGCAAGAGAGTTTTAGAGGGTTATATATGGAGTGAAGTGTGTATATGTACAAGCCAACGTATACACACACACACATACACACACACACACACACACACACACACACACACACACTCACTCACGTCACTCACCACATACACACAC